ACTTTTTTTTTTCAGTAGCTCAGACTTTAATTACATGTGCTGTTTTATTTCTCATAAATGAGGAGCATCACAGGCCAAACTTTGCTTCTTAACCTTTTAAATTTCTAGCAAGTAGAATTTTTGTAACCCCTCCAGTATATAAAGGCTTTAATCTTTATACTGAAGTGTTTTAGAACATACATTTATATTGACCATGTATATGTTTGAATATTTTACAAGTCATTACCTTACTGATTAAAGTTCTGTTTCTTTAGGACCTGTTTTGCAGGGTTAACACATCTAACATTAATTTTCATTGGTTTCTTCATACAGTTTGTGTCATAGGGGTACTTTCTTTAACATGTTTTTCACATGCTTCTTTCCCCCAAATTAACAAAAATTTGCCTCCTTATAACTCAGTTTCCATATACTCCTTTGCCTATTATCAGAGCTTACAAAAGAAATTAGTAAAATTTTAATCTTACTTGGGTTCGTTTTCTCTGTGGTGTTAATAATTTATATAAAGGTAGCAAGGAAATAGGAGAAAATGTGTTGAAGAGGGAAAATAAAGGATTTGAGTAGCACAGAAAATAGATTTTTAAATGAGCAACTGATAATTGATAATGAATTACTTGTCTTTAAGGACGGAGAAAAGTGACAGCTTCAGCTAGAGTGAACCGGAGACGTCAGGCTGCTGAGGCTGACTCTGAAAGGTATGCCATGCATGTGTAGAATATGTTTTTTTAATTTATATAGAAGTAAAAAAAAAAATTGTAGTTTGCTTTTACTGTGAAAGAGCAGCTCCATATGCAACAAGATAATCCGTGACAATGGTGAGAGCTTTCTAGATAATGTGCCCTGGAGCACTTGACTTCTTACAGCTTGTGTGTTTTTCCTGTCCATGGGCTTGGCCTTTAGTACTAGGTAGTCATTTTTATAATACCTTCTTCCAAATTGTTTTTCCATATATTCCTCTAGTTACAAGATAATGTATGTGTGATTTCTCTGATCTTGAATTAGCAAATTACTGAGGTTTAGATTTGGTTCTCTACATTTATAATGGTAGAATAATTCTGCCTGTAATTTGAGCAATATTAGTAGTATAGTGTTATTTTTGGTTTCTGCCAATAGGCTCTTGTAGGAAGCTGAATGTTTACAGCTGTCTGGTATTCATTCATTCATTCATTCATTGGTACAGTATATATATTTTTAGTATATAATTTTAAGTTTTGACTAAATTTAAAATACCTTTTGGGGAAACTTGCTGTTTACAGTGTTTTAGGAATTTATTGCTTAAATAAACAGAACTTTTTTCTTCCACTTCTTGAGTTCCCCCCAAAACTCTTGGGTAGTTGTTATGGTCCTTATTTGTTTGTAAGCTTCCTTATAGAAGTTTGGATTTTTGTCTTTTTTTCTGTATAACACCAGGTTCCAGTAGATACAAAAAGAAATTAGCTAGATTCTCCATGACTCACTTTGCTGGATAGCCAGTCAGGTTTTTTTGGTTTTAAGATTTTAGTTTTAAGCTTAGTGGAATCGGGATATCAATCACACACTGATAGACAGTCAGAAACAAAAACAGTTTTATTTATAAATAAACTGGTTTTAAAGCTTGTATTTAAATTGGTGTATTTTCAACATCTGTTTAGTGATCATGACGTTCCAGAGCCAGAATCAGAAATGAAGATGAGATTACCAAGACGAGCCAAAACAGCAGCATTAGAAAAAAGTAAACTTAACCTTGCACAATTCCTCAATGAAGATGAAAGTTAGAAGAGATGATGGAGGTGGACTCCTTTAAAATTATGTTCAGTTGTTTGCTTTAATAAAGTTACCCTTGTATGAAAATTAGAAAAAGTCTGATGTCTTGTAGAACTCTTCCTGCTGGGTGATTCCATGTCCCTTTGGCCTGTATTGAAGCATTAAGACGGCATGTGTCAGTGCTCCGCAGGCTGTCTGCATCAGTCCCGGCGTGAATCAGAGTCTGAGGTGGGCCAGCACCCTGCTTTTCAACCAGCCTTCCCAGGTGATGCCTTAAAATCATGGAGTTACGGGCAAGTTTTAAGTGTAACTAGCTGGGGGCTTGCATTTGACAAGGTTTTAACTTAGATGTGGCAGATCCCACACAGATAAAAACATCTCGGAACACATTTTACAACACCTTAAGGGTAAAATGAAGTACCACAAACTGGCTAGAAAGGAGCTTACTTCCGGGAAAGACCAGTATAATGAACCAAGGTATCCAGCATCCGAGTTCAACAGGTACCATTTTGATGATTTTGTGATTCTGACACTAAAAACATTTTGGTAATGCTACCTGCATGGGTAGTTTTTTTTTCCTAAAATATCTGCGTATGAGAGCCCTACTTTGCTTATGTTGTTTCCTGGGCTACAGAGATGTTCACATTTACATATTAATCATGGAGTTTTCTGTTTTTGGCATAACAAAATATTTATTGTAGATAATAAAAAAACTAGTGGGAAAAGATGTGACAGGAAGCCCACTACATACTAATTTATGAGCACTATTTCCTTACTGTCTACTTTCTGAAATCGGCACTTGCCTGACTTAGGAAACCTACGCTGTGGGAAATCAGTCCTCTTTCCTTCTACAACACCCAACAAAACACCTTTTATTATCCCTCTGATAATCGTCTTTCTCTTTATTATACAGAATAGAAATACCCTAACATTGGATCTGTTTTAATAGTAATTGTGCTTTTTTTATTGACCAGAGGCCATTTATTTAAGGTGATGTTCTAAGATGGAGCCAAAGTAAGATTGCTGTGCTTTTTTGAACCAAATTGCTACATTACATATGTATATGTGCTTTATAAAACTTAGAAATACAAAAGGAGTCTGAAGGCTACAAAGTAAGAATGCTTATTAAGCAAAAAGGAAAAGGCAGATGTGGTGATATAAAACAATGGAAAATAGATGATTGTTTTTCATTCTGTTGGCTCTGTGTCTTTTCCTGTGCTTCAAATTCCTTATGTAAGTCTTTTTTTGTTAAATCCCTGTCTTTGTAAAAATAATTTGGGGGCTGGGGCAGGTAAGGAGAAATAAGGACTTTCAAGGTACACAAAATGTGCCATAAGTAAAAGTCTTCAGAAACACAGCGAACTAAATCCCATTTAACCCACAGCCAGGCTATCTGAGGGGAAGGAGCCAGGTTCTTACATACTTACATGGAACACCATACCAGAGCATTCTTTCTCTGGCATGCGAAAAATAAATTTAAGCACCAAACTTTGAGTATTCTTACTATTCAAGTTTTAGACACAATCACATAAGCTAATGATGAAGCTATGCTTTTGCACTATTAAGGAATATTATCCTGATTTTAAGACATCCCTTTACACTTTAAAATAAATGGCTAAAATACAGTAAAATCAATATATATAAATCCATTTACCATTTTTCATTCAAAACTGATAATTTACAGAAACCAAACAGCATTCTTGTCTGTAAAAGAGGCACAGATTTGCTGAATAGTAAACATGCAATTGTGCCATTGCTCTTAAAGCCCACAGACTGCAGGTTTAAAAACAAATAACTGATGAGCTCAGATTTTCACATGAATGGCAACATGCTACTTCATGATAAACTATGATCAATCTTTCTATACATATATAACTTTGAAAGAGTTACACTTCGAAGAGATACCTTTGCCTTTGACCAATTTGCTTCGAGGTAGTTGGTATCCACCTGTTACACGACTGCTCACGGGCCAGGTTATCGTCACAAATCCTCACACTGCTAGCCTTCTAAATCTCACAATGCGTTATATATATATTAAGCTTTGTGCACAGAAAACTAGGGAAAATTATTTCAACTTACGGCATAAAAAATTCACAAAATACTGTTTAAAAGAGAAACATCAAAATCCATTTGTACTGCAAAATTCCACAATGGTCTGGTGTAAAACATGTAAAAAAAACGTACAAAGAATATAATCAAAATGATTAATGCTAATGATTTAATATATAGACAAATCACAGGATTAGAAATCTTTCAAAATCAATGATGAATGCTTATCAGCAGAAAGAATATTGGTGTACAGAGTAAGGACAGTGCAAGAAGAACTGTAATCTATTTCTCTTCACGTTTGAGATTTTGGTTTTGGACTGTACAGCTCGCTAGAGATGCTGCTGTCAAATTCAGATTCCATTCAGTGGGACGATTAAGGCACATCTTAACGGGGCTCAAAGGGCAACTTGCTGTATTCCCATCAGACAAATTCAGTTTCTCATCAGTTTTCACTTGTAGCATGCTGGAAAAAAAAAGTGTAAATCACTTTAGTTTTACTTTAATTTCAAAGAAATTATCAACCTTGTAAAAGAAAATTCAGTTCTAGTGCTTGGACCTCAAAATATTAGAGTAGATAGAGCATTTATGATCCTGAAAGTACAAGAGTTTGTTGTTTTTAGCTCCTGCCTCACTGAACTGAATACAATACAGATAATGGTGAGGCCACTCAGATACCACGGGACAAAAACAGCATATATGGATTTTATCAGTGTACATCAGAAAGCATATTTTACCTACTGAGCTTGGCTGGATTAAACTCTTAACTTTTCCTTTAACCAGCCAGGATCAGAGTCACTTCAAGACAAGAAGGAATTTATTGAATGCCTACTATATTCTAGGCACATTACATGTCTTATCTTACTTAAACATCATAACAACCAAGCAAGGTTGGCATGCTTAAGCGCATAAGAAACGATAAAAGTGAGTCACAGAGAGTTGAAGTACAAATGAAGTCAAGTCACGGGGCTGGAACTGGAACACAGCCCTTGCTCTTCCCCTTACGCCTGTCTACCAGCTCTCTGAGAACCTCCTCTAGAATCACAGAGTCCACAGGGCAGAGAGCCACCACGTGCAATGCATACGTAATCCCGTCTTAAGTAATACTGATGATACTCATTTCACATTTTCCAATGTGAATCCTTATGGTTAGAAACCATTTAATAGCTTGCTATACATTAGCTCATTTGACACTTAACTGATTAGTTTGGTTGGGCTGCATCCTTCCTATGCTTTCTCCAGCCACAGGTCAACGATTCTTCCCATTAGTAAAGAGGAAGCTGAGCTGGGTAGTGTTTAAGCAACTTGTTCGAGCTGGTAAATGACAGCAGCATCCAGACTTAAGTAGTAGCATTCTCCTGATCCCTCCTTGCAACTTCAAGCAACTGACTCACTTGCCATTCAATAACCCAGAGAGATTTAACCTGTTAAGCCACTTTACAAGATTGAACATTACCCTGTTAGCAACTATCATATTTTTCACTGAGTCCTCCGCAGGCAAACCCTGTTCTACTGAAATGACATGATTTCAACTTTTGTAAACAGATAGGAAATAAAATGACAGGTAGCTTATAAGATTACTCATCAAAAATAGTAAACCTCACAACACTGTAAACTGACGATAACTCAATAAAACAAATTCACATTAAAAAAAAGTAATCACTTAAAAAAAGCCCAAACCTATAGATACAATTAATAACATTAATGCTTTTCTTCTTCCAAGGAACTGCTAGTCTTTGTATTTTTATTATTTGTATTTTCAAAACAAAAAAGTTTGTATACTTCTTTGAGAAACCCTAAGGCAAACTATAAAAATACAATGAAATTAATTGAGATAGCTCGGTAGATAACTAACAGGTGTCAAACTCCAAAATAAGAAATGATGGCATGGAACAACAAATCATGGTGATAAAAATAATTGTTTTCTGATTGCTCTCTGATTGACAAAAGTGTATTCATCAGAGAATAATACTCAATAACTACATTATTGTTCTTTTCAGTACTTTAAAGACAATTTTTTAAAGTGACTTTTCCAGAGTGTGCGCTCTAAATTTAGGAACACAGACTCCAGGGACGCACAAAACGACATGCATCAGAAGAAAATACCAGTTAAGAAAAAGAGCTAAACGTTAGTACCAATAAACAGACTAACATGTTTACTCCCTCATAAATATATATCTACAAAAAGACAACTAGTTGGTATTGAAGCCTGGGCACTTCTGATCTACAGAACCCTGAGAATAGAATGGAGCTCTCTCGACGTGCGAGAACCAGAGGCACTGGAGCAGCATTAGAGCGACCTTTCTAGTCACTCCCTACTGCTTTTTAAAAGATAGGGAAGCTAAGGTAGAGGGAAATAGACAAATAAGCTGCTCTTTCTCAGAGCGTCCCAACCACACGTATGTAGACAAATACAAGAACTTGGATCCCTAATTATAATCTACTACTCACCAGAGCACTTTTCAATTCCATTTTCTATACCAAATTATTTAACATTTATTGCGTACCCATCAGAAAGCACTTTTGGGTTACAAAGATGAGAAAGATACAGTCCATGCTTTCAAAGAATTTGCAACCTAGAGGAATTTTTAACAAATACCCCTTTATATCTGGAAATTAAAATTTTGACAAAATTTGTTAAGTTTAATGCTAGACACCTGTCATATAATTATACATTTGTACCAAGTGAAAGATTAATAAATATTTCTCAACTTTTCTTGATGGATTTTTTAAACAATGGTAGTAAGTCTGCAAAATTAAAAGATCAATCATTACAAAATGTTATACAATGAAGTCTCTCAGTGCTCCGAGTCCTTCTTCTAGGAGCAATTCTTCGAGATAGTCCCTTTACACTGAGATATATATCTGTGTTTCAAATACCTCCTTTTCCCCTACACAATTCTGTATACCGTTCCATATCTCACTTGTATATTTTGGAGTGTTTCATACTTGTACAATGAATACTTGATTCTTTAACAGCTACAGAGGATTCCATTCTATGCATATGTTGTCATTGACTTTGCCAGTCTTCGACTGATAAACTTTTGGGCTATTCCAATCTTTTGCTTAAAATACCAATGTATTGAATATTCTTATGTGTCTCTTTAAGTATGTGTGCAAGTACATCTTCCTTCCAAAATTTCCTTCATAGACTGTGTACCATTTTACACTCTAACGATGTATGAATGTATCTTCCTTCCCTCACACTCGTACAATATATAATAAAATTTATGAAAGCTTAAAAAAATGGTATGCTATTGTTTAATTTGCATTTTCATTCTGAGTAAGATTAAACTTGTTTTCATATCTTAAAAACCATTTGAATTTCCTTTTCTTCGTTCTTTGCCAGTTGAGATGGTCTTTTTCTCATTGATATGCAGTTAAAATTAATCCTGTGGTCTATGTGACTTAAAATCCCACTCCCTTCCTCACCCTGCCTAGTTCACTGTATCTGCTTACAGTGATTTTGTCATGAATCCATTTAAAATTTTCTATTATCAAGTTTATCAGTTTTATTTCATGGCTTCGCTGCTTTACATCATGATTAGAAAGCTGAATTAGCAGCATTTGAATCCTCTGATAAAGCGGCTTTATAAATCTCTATCAAGGATTCCTATGAAAGCTCAGCAGCAGTGTACACAGTGGTACTTTGGGGAGAAACGAGTTGGGGAAAAGAATGTAGGGACCTGGGTTCCAGTTCTGACAATATTAACAATCAGCCTTATGACCTTGGACAAGTAACGTTAGCCTCCTTCAGCCTCATTTTCTTTGTCTGTAAGAAAAAAAATGACATCTCCCGATTAACTTATGTGTTTCTGAGGATCTAACAAGAGTCAATTAATGTGCTTTAAAAACCATATAGAGTTACAAACGCGAAGGTTTAGTTTAACACCGCGCAGTTTGGTGAAGGGGGAAAAAGCTAGGAGAGGGGTACTTATCCCAAGTAAGGCCTCTCTGTCTCTGTCCAGTCAGGAGCCTAGATGGTAGGTGAGGGCTGAGCAAGGGCATTATGTAGACATCTAAGCCTGTTTTCAATGCTTCAGTAATTTCACACACCCCAAGACAGAGCCCCTCTCCACCATCTGAACGGAAGCTTACAGAATGTGTGCATTTGGAAAGTATAAAAGATAAGAATCTTCTGTGGGTCATGGAAAGACAACTACCGTTTGTGATTTGAATGATTATTGATAATTCTAATTTTAACAAAAATGATTTTTATATATTCAACTCTAATAATTTAAACTTGTTTTATTTATTACTGGAGGTATGTGATGGTTCACTTCTGTCATACAGACAATAAACTTTAAGCTAGCCACGTTGCGGGAAACACACTTTAGCATGGTCAAGACAGGTCGGAAAATACCACTTAGAAAGCAGTTGCAACACGCCAGGGTTTTGCAGGTTGGTGAGGAGGCAGAGGGACAAGTATTCATAAGTTACCAGAATTAAAAGCAGCATGCAGTAAACATAAGTAAAGGGAGTAACTAAGGATGGAGGAATTACAGAGAAGGGATAGGTTAATCCCATCAGTGGGGAAACCGGGCGGAAAACAGTTGCAATAGGTCTCTAGGGATGACGCTTTTCGTAAACTGGGTCAGAGGGAGGCTTCCTAGAGCCTGAGTTCGGAGTTCAGAGCCTGAATTGAATTCACCTGCTGAGTGTACATTCTTTAGCCTCTAAGCTTCAATGTAACAGGGGAGTGAAGATATAATGCCCACATCTTCAGGGAAATGCAATTACTAACTGAGTTTATGTAAATAAAGCACCTGCGTAGAGATTGCAGGTAAAATGCCTGTTTGGACACGCAGTAAGGAGTCAGGAAACCTAAGCTAATATTAGTACTAATAACAAGAATTAAAATCAAAAGGTTCATGTGTGGGGATAAACAATGGCAGATATGTATATGATTTGCTTATGCAATGTTCACCAAATTAGTTTGTTCCTGTAATTTGTGTAGACAGGTAAGTAATACAACAGTCAATTTTGAATCTCCAGGCTTAAAGGGGGTCAAATGTAGAAGAGCCACAGCATGTAGCCAGGTGAACACAGTCTACCAGTTAACCGTGAGATCTAACGTGAGGAAATAAATTCTTTCTCTTGTTGGCAAATTCTGTAAGAGTTAAGTTGTACAGGTTTTGGGATTTTTAAGAAGACAAATTTATCTCAAAAGCAAAATTTCCCTTTGGTAGGATACTGATGAATTTAAAGGCCTTGGAAGAATCTTAAGTGGGAGATTTTAAGTCAGATATTTTTCCTGACTTGCTTTTGATTATTCAGTATATTTATCTGGAGGAGCAGAACCACCTAGTGGTTAAGAGCAAGACTTTGAAATCTGATACTCTTGGATTAGAATCCTAGATTTGCAATTTACTGCAATCAATTTTAGGAAAATTACTTTTTCAACAAAAGATTAGCACACTGGTGCAAACCAAGTGTTACCATGATTATTAGAGAGCAAACTGTGAT